AGAAAGTGTCATCCCCGTAGCACGAATTATGTGACAGTCAGTCTCAATTTGATTATTTAAACATTGTTCGAAAACAATTATTCGAAAAACATTTATTGGAATTGTAAATTGTTTGAAAGAAATTCAATCGAAAAAACAATTATATCAAATGATAATTATTCGAAATGCAAAATTCTTTATTGCTATAAAAATGTAAAAATTAAAAGAGGAAATGCACAAATAAAAATTATTCGAAATACAAATATCGTTAATAAAACAATTAAGAAAAAATCCTTATAACCTTAAGTCATATGACATTGCACGTAAATAGTCAACTACTGAAGATTAATTGTTAAAGGATGCTACTAATTTTTTAAGTTTTTTGTATACTGTTGAGTTGTTGGGAGTGTTCCCGCGTGTGTGTATTCGAATAAAGACAAACACAGTTGTAGGGATAAATACTGGTATATTTGTAAGAGGTAATTAACAACAGAGTGATTAGTAATAAGGAACGCCGGTTAGTAAGTAACAATAGCAAAAGTCTACAGTCCAACGGTATGTAATGGTAACCTGATCCTTCTCACTACACACCTACTCTCTCTAGCACTGACTTATATCGTAGAGGGATCAGTCCATTATCAGTCAGAAGATGGGTGCGCCCCAACATATACATCGTTGTATTTCTTGGTGCTCTTGATAAATTCCCAAAATCGTCTTACTTTTACAAACTGAATTTTCTTGCATGTCCTGTTCTCTTTTAAGAGCATCTAAGAATTTCCATATTGCGGGATGATGGGGTGACACTTGCTCCAAAAAATCCCTATGCCATCCTTCAAGGGTGTTTTTAGTTCTAGATAAATCTGCATTGACTCTTTCAAAGCAATACCGTACCTATTTCAAACATAGATATTTCGAACGATTATCATTTAGTCTAATTGTCCTTTGGATTAACTTTCATTGAAACTATTTACAATTCAAATAAATGTTTTTCGAATAAATGATTTCGAATCATTATTTACAAAGAATTTTCTAAAGACGGTATTAAAAAAATGGCTACAATAACAAGAACGGAATATGTCTTCGAGATCTTATAACGCAGGTACCGCTAATAGCCCTCTATTTGGATCTACATTGTTTTAATTTTTATAAATGATCTTCCTGATGCCATCGGTTGTCAACTCGCTATCTATACTGATGACACACCTATTTACCTATTTTAATAGTAAGTCAAATTGGCAGCTGGTATAAAAATGATTACACTGTTTTTAACTGGAGCAAGGAATGATTCATTAATATTTGTCTATATCTCTGAGATGCGGTATTATGATCATGTACATTATTTGATTATTCGGACTGTTATGCTAATCTTCATTGCCATATTCACAACGTTTCGGCAGTTGTACGTTCCGTCTTTCTTCAGGTGATTGGAATTTCGCACGAACACTTTATTTCGTCTACTGGGGGGGATTTTTTCTCTTTATACATACCATGCTTCTTCCGGATATCTCAGTTATCTCCCTTTAACTCAGTTCTCCACGTTTTTGGTTCAGCACTTCTGTAGCCTGATATTGAAGTCGCAACTCTTTGGGTCTAGACACTGGATCTAACCAGCACCGTTATCCACTGACGATGACCGTAGCGTAATAGGGCCGTAACTTAATGAATATGGCAATGAAGATGAGGATAACACTCCGAATAATGTAAATAATCTAAGCAAGGAATGACTTTATCCTTTCCTCAACCGCACCCCCTAACTCAGGCTTTTCTCTTACTTACACTCTCTGTAGCCCGTTGAATTGAGTAGATGTAACCATGTTGGTATCTCGTTCCCACCCTTTTACTGTCGAAAAAGTTAAATGTAACCGCCTCTTCTACTCCAACAGCTTCTTCTTTCGCACTTCCTGACAGTGTAACTCCCTTCCTCTTACTTGCTTACCTGTCAACTATAACCTTTAAAAATTTAAATGCAATGTCAATTGACATATTCTGTTGTCTTGATGCCTGTTCTTCTTTTATATTTTTCTGTTCTTTTTTATCCTTTCCTCACCCCCCCACTATACCAAGACTTTTCTCTTCCTTACACGTTCTGTAGCCCGTGGAATTGGCTAGATCTAACCATGTTGGTATCTCGGTTCAACCCTTTTACCGTCGAAACAGTTAAATATAACCGCCTCTTCTACTCCAACAGCTTCTTCTCTCGCACTTCCTGACAGTGGAACTCCTTTCCGCTTACTTGCTTACCTGATGGCTGTAATCTTCAAATATTTAAATGTAATATCAATCTACATTTTCTGGTGTCTTGATCCTGATCCACGACCTTCTCTATATCCTTTCAAAAACGCCTCTTGCTCTCACTATCTGTAACCTCGTTTTGAAATGCTTAAAAAAGTTAATATAAACGTTCAAAATTTGTAAGGTCTTCGTGATTAATTGGTGGAAAAATGGAGGTTTTGCCTATTACCTTTTTTTGAGAATAAAGCATGACAAGGTGCCTATACACATCAATATATATATATATATATATATATATACATATTGTCATCTCTAGAATGACTGTTTCGCAGCTCATCAGTGTGGCTAGAAGTCCGGTTGCCTCTAGACAGGATCGAAACCTGACTGAATTGGCATCAGTCGGAGATTCTACCAATAAGCTGGAGGCGCACTCGTGGGACAAAGGTGAATTTTAGCGTATTTTTGTTTTTAGATAAACACACAGTGACCGAGAGGACTCGATTCGCTTTTACCGAAATGTCTTGCTATAATAGCCGTAATAGTCACTGTTTACAAACCCACACTTCCTGTCCCAGAGAGCTCAACCGAAATTGATTTTCAGGAGCCTATATATATATATATATATATATATATATATATATATATATATATATATATATATATATATATATATATATATATACTTTTATATTTACACTTACCTGCGACTATGACGCGTACCAGTCAATTACTGCTACCATATTCTACTTGGTTATAGTAGCCAAAACCACTTCGTTCAAATATATCCCTTTCTGGGACATATCATAGAGTTTAATAGCTTTGAGCTTAATCTTAGTTGGTTGTAATTTACGAAGTTTTTCTCCTTCCTCCATTTCAATATTTTGTGTCTGACTTATATGCCTCGTGATTTCTTCCTTAGCCTCTTAATTGCTGGTGTTCCCAGGTCTACCTTGACCCAGGGTGGTAGCGCCTGTTAGGGTCCCAGCTATGGGCAAATAGTTAACTATTACCAGCAATACGTTTTTGAAAAAAATATTGGCAGCAATACAATTTTGAAGGAAATATATTACCAGAAACAGATTTTTGACATAACAGGATATTGCCAGCAATGAAAAATTTGAAAAATCTATCCTAAAAATGTTGTCGGCATTAAATAACCCATTTAGGTTGATATGCCGTAAAACAAAATAAACCAAACCAATCTAAACCAAAGAATACATATTCTATTCATACAAATCTATCCTAAAAATGTTGTCGGCATTAAATAACCAATTTAGGTTGATATGCCGTAAAACAAAATGAACCAAACCAATCTAAACCAAAGAATACATATTCTATTCATACAAATCTATCCTAAAAATATTGTCGGCATTAAATAACCCATTGAGGTCGATATGCCGTAAAACAAAATAAACCAAACCAATCTAAACCAAGAATACATATTCTATTCATACAAATCTATCCTAAAAATGTTGTCGGCATTAAATAACCCATTGAGGTTAATATGCCGTAAAACAAAATAAACCAAACTAAACCAAACCAACCCTTGGGAAAGGTGTGGATCCTCTTCTTCTACCCCCAGCTATGGGCAAATTGCAGGACAGACCGACTTCTATTCCCTTGGATGGCAACTGATCTACTGCAGAAAGAAATGGCAACGTACTGCAGTAAAAAAAATCTACCTCGTCATCGAAAGATACATGGTCGCCTGTGTATCACGCATGGCACATAACTGACTGATTTAAAAATGATAATAATTTGAGTGCTACATTGTAGATTGATATAATGGAATATGCATACACCTATGTTCCCCTCACTGGAATATGATTGGCTGGTGTCCGTCATAAATACCGACGGACGTGTAGGAGAGTTTAGAGAGCCTTAGTCTGAGAGCTAAGTCTATAATGACGCCCATTGGACTACGCCATTGATCTACACTTACCTGCGACTATGACGCGTACCAGTCAATTACTGCTACCGTATTTTACTTGGTTATAGTAGCCAAAACCACTTCGTTCAAATATATCCCTTTCTGGGACATATCATAGAGTTTAATAGCTTTGGGCTTAATCTTTGTTGGTTGTAATTTACGAAGTTTTTCTCCTTCCTCCATTTCAATATTTTGTGTCTGACTTATATGCCTCATGATTTCTTCCTTAGCTTCTTATATACTCTTCTTGTTTTCCGTAAAATAATTCGGTTCAATGTGTTTTGGATTCGTTTTATTTCAGGTTTTTAAGCGACCAAGATCACGCCTTTCCAACTCTTCTAGTCATTCATTATTATCTTGACTATGATTGATGTTGCATCTCAGTTTCTTCATTATGAACTGTGGCTTAGGTGATGTATGTACGTTTTATATAGCGTCCTGGGTAAGACGATACACTACGTCCAACCTCTGATGAAAGGTTTTGAGAAGCGTAGAACGATCTCTTAATTACTAGTGTTCCCAGGTTCACCTGGACCCGAGGTGGTAGCACCTGTTAGGGTCCCAGCTATTGACAAATAGTTGACCCCCAAACTAGGGTCAAAACACTATGAAAATATAAAAATAGGTTTTAATACGAGCAATACATTTTTGTAAAATATTATTACCAGCAATACATTTTTGAAGAAAAAATATTACCAGCAATACATTTTGGAAAAAACATATTACCAGAAATACATTTAAAAAATAAAATTAGCAGCAGTACATTTTTGGAATAACCAGCAATAAAAATCTTGTCGGCATTAAATAACCCATTAAGGCTGATATGCCGTAAAACAAAACAAACCAAGCCAATATATACTGAGATAGATAGATAGATAGATAGATAGATAGATAGATAGACAAAAAAAATATTAGCAGCAATAAAAACTCTTGTCGGCAATAACCCATTGAGGCTGATACGCCGTAAAACAACAAAAAAAAACAAACCACACCAATATATACTTAAATAGATAGATAGATAGATAGATAGATAGATAGATAGATAGATAGATATGAATAGTATGAGATAGGTAGATATGAAGATATGAATAGCATGAGAAAGATAGATAGATAGAGAGATAGATAGATAGATAGATAAAAAAAATATTAGCAGCAATAAAAACTCTTGTCGGCAATAACCCGTTGAGGCTGATATGCCGTAAAACAAAACAAAACAAACTACACCAATATATACTTAAATAGATAGATAGATAGATAGATAGATAGATAGATAGATAGATAGATAGATAGATAGATATTAGCAGCAATAAAAATCTTGTCAGCTTTAAATAACCCATTGAGGCCGATATGCCGTAAAACAAAACAAACTAAACCAATATATACTTGGATAGATAGATAGATAGATAGATAGATAGATAGATAGATAGATAGATAAAAAAGATATTATTAGCATCAATAAAAACCTTGTCGGCATTAAATAACACATTGAGGCTGATATGCCGTAAAACAAACCAAACCAAACCAATATATACTGAGATAGATAGATAGATAGATAAAAAAAATATTAGCAGCAATAAAAACTCTTGTCGGCATTAACCAATTGAGGCTGAATTGCCGTAAAACAAAACAAACCAAACCAATATATGCTTGGATAGATAGATAGATAGATAGATAGATAGATAGATAGATAGATAGATAGATAGATATTAGCAGCAATAAAAATCTTGTCAGCTTTAAATAACCCATTGAGGCCGATATGCCGTAAAACAAAACAAACTAAACCAATATATACTTGGATAGATAGATAGATAGATAGATAGATAGATAGATAGATAGATAGATAGATATTAGCAGCAATAAAAATCTTATCAGCTTTAAATAACCCATTGAGGCCGATATGCCGTAAAATAAAACAAACTAAACCAATATATACTTAGATAGATAGATAGATAGATAGATAGATAGATAGATAGATAGATAAAAAAAATATTAGCATCAATAAAAACCTTGTCGGCATTAAATAACACATTGAGGCTGATATGCCGTAAAACAAACCAAACCAAACCAATATATACTGAGATAGATAGATAGATAGATAGATAGATAAAAAAAATATTAGCAGCAATAAAAACTCTTGTCGGCATTAACCAATTGAGGCTGAATTGCCGTAAAACAAAACAAACCAAACCAATATATACTTGGATAGATAGATAGATAGATAGATAGATAGATAGATAGATAGATAGATATTAGCAGCAATAAAAATCTTGTCAGCTTTAAATAACCCATTGAGGCCGATATGCCGTAAAACAAAACAAACTAAACCAATATATACTTGGATAGATAGATAGATAGATAGATAGATAGATAGATAGATAGATAGATAGATAAAAAAAAACATTAGCATCAATAAAAACCTTGTCGGCATTAAATAACACATTGAGGCTGATATGGCGTAAAACAAAACAAACCAAACCAATATATACTGAGATAGATAGATAGATAGATAGATAGATAGATAGATAGATAGATAGATAGATAGACAAAAAATATTACCAGCAATAAAAAATCTTGTCGGCATTAACCAATTGAGGCTGAATTGCCGTAAAACAAACCAAACCAAACCAATAGATAGATGGATAGATAGATAGATAAAAAAAATATTAGCATTAATAAAAACCTTGTCGGCATTAAATAACACATTGAGGCTGATATGCCGTAAAACAAAACAAACCAAACCAATATATACTGAGATAGATAGATAGATAGATAGATAGATAGATAGATAGATAGATAGATAGATAGATAGATAGATAGATAGATAAAAAATATTACCAGCAATAAAAAATCTTGTCGGCATTAACCAATTGAGGCTGAATTGCCGTAAAACAAAACAAACCAAACCAATAGATAGATAGATAGATAGATAGATAGATAGATAGATAGATATTATCAGCAACAAAAAATCTTGTCGGCATTATATAACCAATTATGGTTGATAGACTGTAAAACAAACCAAATCAATGCAAACGTTTTATATACATTTCTGGTTTTCCTTTCTGCTGATATATCTTTTCTAGTTGCAGTTTTTTTTACTTCTTTAATGTGGTCTAAACAGTCCCCTCTATATATCTGGCTTACAAGCCAAAGATTTATTCATTTCTATCTGGATAACGGCATCAACAACCCAAAAAGAGTTTAATTGTCTGAACAAAGCTTGTATTGTTAGTGACTTAAAGTTACAGACAATATGAATTATGCTGTTCAGTATAATCTTCAATCATCTGATTTGTTTGCTCCTTAATAGACACAAATCAGAATATACAGTTGGTTAATTCTGATCTAACCACAAGTGCCAAAAGAAAAGATAAAGATTATTTTGGTTTCAGCAAATTAATAATTATAGATTATTGATGTATTTGGTGATTCAGGAAGGCTTATTGATTTTGAGGGAATCGATACTCATTGAAAAAGGGAAATTTTAATAATCAATATTGGCAAAGACATAAGCCGACTGCGAAATCGGTTCTATTAATCCTTGTTCAAAGAATATTGGATTCCAGCTACAAAAGAAGGAGGGGGCTCTTGTCAATTCAACGCTAGCGAGAACAGAGCAACACAACCATGGGTCACGACGCAGCAGGAAATCAGTATAGAGGAAGAAGTCAAGCAAAAATAGGAGAGAAGAAGAAGAAGAAGAAGAAGAAGAAGAAGAAGAAGAAGAAGAAGAAGAAGATGTCGGGTGAAGAAGAAGAAGAAGAAGAAGAAGAAGAAGAAAAATTCAGGTTAGAATAATAATAACAACAACAACCAGATAATAATAATAATAATAATAATAATAATAAACAATGGCAAGATAAACCGCTTCATGGCCAATACTCTGCCTGTACCAAACAAGCTGACGTAGACAAAACCCGTACCCATAAGTGGCTACGTAGTGACGGCTTGAAAGCGGAAACTGAAGGTTTTATCCTTGCTGCACAGGACCAATGCTTGCTAACTAGGAATTATCAAGCACATATACTAAAATATTGTGTTAGCCCAAAATGCAGATTCTGTGATAAATATCCAGAAACGATTGATCATCTTGTATCAGGTTGCACGATGTTGGCACCCACTGAATATAAAACCCGACATGACAGAGTGGGCCAATATCTGCACTGGAAAATCTGCAACTTCTACGGGAAGGAAACTGAAAGAAACTGGTATGAACACCACCCAGACCCGGTTACGGAGATAGGACCTGTTACAATTCTATGGGACTACACAATACACACTGACAGAACAATCAAATCCAACCGCCCAGATATTGTTATTAAAGACCACAAACAAAAACGGTGCCTCCTTATTGATATGGCAGTCCGTGCTGACTGCAATGTATCTTTGAAGATATTCAAAAAGTTGTCAAAGTACAAGGACCTTGAAATAGAAATCTCTAAAATGTGGCATATGGGAACATCAACAATCCCTGTTGTAGTTGGAGCCCTAGGACTGGTTGGAAAAGATTGCAGTAGACTAATTGAAGGGATTCCTGGAAGTCCATGCCTCAAGAAGATACAAAAAATTGTTCTGACAAGTACAGCCCACACTTTACGAAGGGATTTATCTATGTAATTTTTTTTTTTTTTTGTCAGTGGAAAGTGTCATGACGCCATTTCTAACCTTTGGTCCGAGGGCGGGACCCGGAAAGAAATGTATAAACGCCAGAAATCAAAGAAAATAATAATAATAATAATAATAATAATAATAATAATAATAATAATAATAATAATAATCTGCCCGTACTAAACAAGTTATGTAGACAAATCCCGTACCCTTCAACGCTGACCACTCGCATTCGAGGATACCCGTCTACTATGGCAGCTAGCCAATCCCTATTGCAGACGCTTGTTCAGGCGTATTTGTGTTTGCTCAACATCCACAGAGCCCACCCATGGTTTATAATGCAAGTACGCTGATCAGATTTTAGTTACTGTTTCTGGGAGAGAGCGTGTTATCTAGCGTGATCAACAAGGCCAGCACGCTAAGATCCCTCGGCCACGATGACTTGTGACTTCATTCTGACAATGGTTATGTGGTGCAGCGTTAAATGTTGAAACAAAAGGTTTCATACTGTTTCGCAGGACCAAGCACACATACTAAAAAATGCGTTGACCCCAAATGCAGATTCTGTGAATAATGTCAAGAAACAATTTAACATCTTTTATCAGGTTGCACTAACTGAATATAAAACGCAGCACGATAGAGCGGGTCAATATCTGCACTGAAAATTATGCAACTTATACGGCAAAGAAACTGCAATAAACGTGTATGAATATCACCCCTACCTGGTTAAAAGATAGGACCTATAACACTTTTCATGGGACATTACAATACACACAGACAAAAATCAAAGTTAATCGCCTAGACATCGTGATCAAAAACGACGAAAACATAATCTGCTTTCCTTATTGACATGGCAGTCACTGCAGATTTTAATGTATCTTTGAAGATCTTGAGGAAAGAAACTGAAAGAAACGTGTACGAAGATCACCCGTACCCTGTTACAGAGATAGGACTTGTAACAATTTCATGAGACTTTACAATACACAGAGACAGCAATCAAAGTTAATCGCCTAGACATCGAGATCAAAGACGAGAAAAACATAATGTACTTTCTTATTGACAAGCGCAGTCTCTGCAGATTGTAATGTATCTTTGAAGATATTTAAAAAAAAAAACTATCAAAAAAAACAAGGACATTGTAGTGGAAACCTCCAAAATGTGTACATGAGGACATCAGTAATTCCAGTTGGTGTTGGGGCACTCGGTTTGATTGGAAAATGTTCCGATTGACGCATTGAAGGTATTCCTGGAAGGGCATAACTTAAAAAAAAATATTAAAAATGTACTCACAAGTAGAGCTCACATATCACGATGAGCTTTATCTATGTAAAATGTGCGTGATCAACAGACCGACGATTGCGTTTAGAATTAACAGACTATCGCCTATTGATGTTGACTTCAATGTCCACATATATATATATATATATATATATATATATATATCACAGCTCATGAATGTGTCTAGAC